TTTAAATAGCGAATACTCTTTTTTTTGGATTTAATTGGATTCAATTAGTTTCAATTGGATGCAATTGGATTGCAAAACTGCATTTCCTATTCAAAATTTGGAATTGAACAGTATTCACACTGCACAGAAAAAGCTAATATTATTTTTAGATTAAAAGGCATAGAGATATGTTCCATGTAATTCCTATAAATGAATAAAAATTGCATTCAGGATTGAAAAGCATTTATTCGTGAATCAATATTTCTGAAAATCTGAATCCATTTCAATTCATTTCAATCCATCCTCATTTGCTGGGATGACATGTAGCGGAAAGATGTAAGTTGTCGAACGATTTTTCAGCTAAAAGAGCAAACTGGCGTCCCCGATTTGCAATACTGAACGCACCTAAATGTTGCGAAACGAAGCGCCCGCTGCTACTGGATGATCTAAAAGAATAAGCCAATAGCAGCGAGCGCTCACAGATTCTTCCGCAACAGTTGTGCTGTTGAACGTGACCATTGGCTTACGCTATTCCGTATCCCGCGAATAAAAAATTGGACCATCTACGCCATTGCGCCAAGAGAGTTTACATTTCGTTACCATGGCAATCGCGAGCTTGTCAAACTTACGAAAACCAGTTATCAACAGTTATCAAACGAATGGGCACGAGAGATACAGATTGTCAAGATTAGAGTTTCGTAAAAATGGCAAATGATATTCTCAGCAATGGCCGTTTACGAGAAGACACTGTTGTACAACGAACAAGAAATGATCGAGGCAATCGAGGTATCATTCAATTCAATCAAAACTTTAAATATAAATGATTCACTATCGATTGAGTTTTGATAACAAGATAATAGGGATTTTATCGCCAGATATGCGGCGAATGCCAAGGCCACGTTATCTTCTTCTTGACAAGTAATTAAGAAAAGGATAACTTTAGCGTTTACCTATCTGGATTCACATTGCAAAAAAAAAAAATTCTATTAATCTTGTGATGCGCGTCACATCGGAATTGCTCTTTGTCAGATGCAATTTTTCCGTCGCGTTTCTTATCGGGTTTCTTCTTATTGGTTTTGTTGGACGTAGCACCAGACATAGCAGCAATAGAGAGTCGCAATTGGTTGCTACATCGACATTACACGAGACACGAATACAGCGCTTGCAAGCTACTCATCGAGCAGGAATTGATGAAATCTAATGGCCACGAATACGCCAATTATTTAAAGGTGCGATCGAGACTATTCTCCCAAATAATGTCGCATACGAAAATACGTTTTACGTATATAAATACATACCTATACATTTTCCTGTTACTCTTTTACGTACAACATTTTTCGAGAATAATCGAAAGTCCTCTTGATACATAACTTGATGCATAAAAGTAAAAATTAACACTAAAATTGACAACAATTGTCGATAGTTTGCCACCATCCGCCACTGCCTACGACAGACTATGATGGAAAGTGTGGAAATAATTAAATATTGATTTTGGTCTCTCACACTAAATTAATAATATTAGTACACGTATTAAAGACTTGAGTTAAGATATTTAAATGCAGTGGCAATATAATTAATTTTAACAATTAAATATATATTTTATTAAATAACGTATAAATATTATTATTAGGTTTTTAATCGTTGAAAATATTTTTTATATGCTTTAACATCACTAATTTCATATTTAGCAGTTTTTAGTGTGCACTAAAAACTGCATACTAGTAATGCAAGTATGACTGAATTTGCTAAAAACTGTTCGACAAAAGAATAATGTCTTTATTCGTACAGCCTGTAAATGTAATGAATAACTATAAACAACTACCAATATTTATCCTTGTTACACGGTCGTATCGGATAATGCATAATGAACTTATTAATAGGGTTTAATTCTTCGAAAGGAGGGTAGGATTCAAGATTCCTTGGATTGTTTTCAAATCGCGTATAATGTGAATTCGACAAACATCGATAACGTTAAACAGATAGCAAAATCGTTGTAAGTAATTAAAAATTATTCTTAATACAAATTACATAATATATGACAAATATCGCGAATTATTAACGCGACAATTTTTAGACTGATAATGGGAAGTCACAAACGCGCGATAGATGCATATGCGGAAGCTGAAAAGATATCTGTTCTACCAGATTGGGAAATATATCATGGCCTTGGCAAGTTATTTGTTTCGCAATGCGATGTATTATTTTGCACAACACATTAGCCAAGCTTTATAAACTTGCAGATGCACCTATCAGAGAATTCATGCTACTTTATTAACTTTGTGGAAAATGTACTTTTGCTCGATGTTGCACTCGTATGAATAAGTATGTAACCGCGTTTCAAGTATTTGCTTTGAGCATAATTAAAGTTATAAAGTTTAATTGTAAATAATGCTTTCTGCCCGGAATTATTTTCTTTCCCGTCTTCAGGTGAGGCTTATGTAAAATTGAACCAATTACAAGAGGGTAAAAAATATTTCAAAAGATCAACGGAATTAACCAAAAGTGAATTGCCCAATATTGATCTTGCGAGACTCTATCTCTTAGACGATATGATTCCAGAAGCTAGAAACGCTTATACGGCAGCTTTAAAGTAAGTTATATGAATCACAAGACACAGCTATGAATCGCGCGAATTAGAAATTAATTAAATTATGTTCACTTTTATGTACCATTAGTTGTGAACAAATTAAAAATATTTATTATCAGATTTATTGTAGAGTAATTTTTTTATCACATTTTCAATATGTTTTCTTAGCTTATCGTTTTTCTTTTTAACACTTTTCTTATTTTGTCGATCACTTGTTTCCTTTCTTTCGATAGCATTTCTATCATTTTGATATAACTTAAACTTTCGACACTTTCTTTACTCTTAGCGGGAATTCTCAGAGTATAGATGCGGCGACAGAACTGGGTCTCTTATATCTTAAAATCGGAGATACGCAACGAGCATTTCAGCAATTTGGAGCAGCTTTGGCTCATTCGCCTAATTGCATCAAGGCAATCTTGCCTATGGCTTATGTAATGCAGGTGCATAAATTTATAGAAATTCATACAGTATCATCGCATTGAACAGTTCTCTTTATTTTACGAAAAAAATTAATCGATTGACATCTTGTACTCAAATTATATGTTCGTTCTGATTATTTTCATCAAATTAATTTTTAATTACTTAAATTGATTGTTTCGTTTGATTTATAAAGTAGGTAAAGCATTATTCTGCTTTGCTAATATAATATTATAAATAACTATGAAGGCACATTCTATCACAAATGCATATTCGTCAGATTATTAAGATTTACTTATTCTTACGTTGAATTCTTCGTGGAATTTGTTTCTTTGCTTCGCTGGACAGTATATATTATATTTTCTAGAGTCATCGAGAGTACGATGTGGCCTTATCGAAATATAAAGTTGCAGCACAGACCATTCCAGAATCTTCAATCCTTTGGAACAACATTGGAATGTGCCTTTACGCGAAACAAAAGTATGTCGCGGTGAGTCTACTCCTTTTTTTTCTTTCACTTTACCTTCATTTTTACCTTTATCGCTTTTTCTCTGAATATCTCCTCTTTGAAACACGCTCAATTTATAGCAATATTCCCCTATAGCAAAAAATGTCATAGTTACATCACAATCATCGATGACGTGCCAATGTCCGCTTTATCACAAATGTATAAATTTTCAAAAGTATTGAAAGTTTTTATCCAACAAAAATATACTATAAATTAAAAATAGTTATATTGCGAAATTACAATAATATTTTGTGAAATAATATTTTGTGCAAATTTCTAATACGCTGTGCGCCAGTTTTGTAAATTTACAACAAATTTCTATTGTAAATTTACAAATATTGTGAAACCACAGCACAACGTAATATGGTTTATAAATTTACTGCATATTTTTATTGTAAGGGTATTGTAAATTCACGAACATTTCTAACAATGTTCCTTTGCAATATTTCGTAGGCTATTAGCTCGTTGAAGCGAGCACATTA